CCCTTGGAGGCTGGAGTTGTACATGGAACCCAGCCAAAAAGGTCCCCACGTACCTACCAGAATCAGGGATTGTGGGGTCTTGGGCTCTGCCAGTCTGACCTCACCCTGGTTTTGCAGGACTCTTCTCCTCCATCCCCACTAATGTGTCCTCTATGCTGCCAGAATCTTTGCAGTGATGGGGCCTCCACCACCTCCTCCAAAGGAGAGTCTGCCTGCCACCCCCGGCCATGCCCTCCCTACCAGGAGTCTCTGACTCCTCCACCCCAGCAGCTCATATCTTAAGAGCTTCCCCTGATGTCTTAGTCTCAGCTTTTCCTTCTGCCCATCTCCCCTTGTGCTGCCTCTTGCCAAGACTGGGGGTCATTTCCCTTCCCTCGTTATGCTCCTTCCTCAAAGGGATTGATGGACTGTGATCATGTCTCCCCAGCTGTGGATCCCAGAGATGAAGGAAAATGGGAAGCTACATTTGATTAATTACTTCTGGGCTGGGTCCATTTTCTTCTACTGTCCCTCCAGCCAGCCTTGAGAGCTGCAGGGAGAAACCCTGCACTGGCCCTCAGGAGAGGCACAAGATGAGCTCATGGACATCGATGGTCCCGAGGAAGTTCTCTAACCTTCTCCTTCCATGGCTTTCTTTCCGGTCTTACTCAGAGACTTGTGGAGCCCCCTGAGAAATGGGAGACCAGTCCTCCGCCGCAAGAGGCTCAGAGAGAAAACCACACAACAAAGCCAGCCACACCACAGCCTGTAGCACAGCCTCTCCCAGCATCGTGCCGGGCACTGAGCTCAGCACTGACTGAAGATCATTCCTAATGAGTCACCCACAGGACTGCCAGCCAGGGACCGTGGTTTTACTTGAACCTCTCCTACCTGAGCCTGGGATTATTGATGGTATCAGGCCTTTCAGGGGTTGGTCCCAGGCTGTCACTATCTTACAGACTCAGGTAATAAACCGTGTGGGGGCCAGATACTCACTGTGAACGGGACGCACTTGAACACGTCCTTCTCTGACACCACATCTGCAATCAGGCTCCTGTTCTCCCCTGCGTATTCCAGCGTGGCGCT